AACATACCCCGAAATAGAAGTAGGCATCGCCGCTTATGGCAACAGCATGCTGAAACTGTGGAGAGGGTGTAAGAAGTTCTGGCTTGGGGGTAGGTATCGGGAGGGGCTTCTCAACTTTGGTTAAAGCAACATTTTCTGTGTGCGCTGACACCAGACCTCATTGGGGAATACTTGGGAGTAGGGATTGTTTAGGTGATTTGTGCTTGGGATTGTGCTATGGATTATTGAGTTAGTCTTTGGGTGTGCTTTGCGTTTTGCGGGTATCGCAGGGTTGATTTAGTACGCAGGTTGGGAAATGGTGTGAAGGCGTTGGGGCGGGGTATTGAGCGTGAGGTCTGGGGTCAGCCTCTGCTTGCTCTGAGGACCCTGCACGCCACAGGCCCCGCAAAGCCGCAGCTGCTCCTGGACCATCCGACTGTGCCTGGTTCCAATGCCCAGTGCATGTCACGGTTGCAAACTTCAACACGGGACAAGATCCACAGTTAGGATGCAAAAGCACGCGGTTGACACCTTTGTATCACACCTTCTGTCTGCCCCAGCCTCTAGCGCAAAGGCCTCCACCGCGGAAAGATCCAGGACTGGTGCCTCGAAAAGCCGCGCATCTTGCAACTGAGTAAGGCTCAGCTGAATCCAAGTTTGCGACGGCAAGGAGGCGATGCAATGGCTTGTCGTATGGCTCCTATCATAGTTTTAATGCAACTGTTCATCAGAAAAAGGCGCAAGCAAGTCGCATAGCCTTCAGCTTGCCGCTGCAGCAAAGGTTCAACAGAGCTGCCTCAGAAACCAAGATCCCCACTTGGTCAAGCTTGTCATGTGGATATCGGGTGAGACTTTTCCTGATTGACTTCATCAAAGAAATGGCTTTTCAGTTTGGCGCGGCTAGTGTACCATGACTGCAACAAGTCTGCAAACTCCTTCCATTCATGTACCATATACAGGCAACTCTTTCAAATATCTCAAATATCTGAGGTTGTTGTCTGAATCTCCGACCCGCGTAGCACTCGCCTTCGCCATAATTAGCTGCTGAAACCCTGAGGACGTGACCATCTGCCGAGGTCAAGGTTGCAAGCGTCATGTGATACAAAGCTGGGCAGCGATACTTGGCAATGCTTATTGACTACGTACTGGCTTTAGATTCATGGGTTTCACTCAACATTGGCATGCTCCATACTTAAGCCATAAACAAGCAACAGCTGTCAGCAGGGCCATTCCGTTCATCCTACACGAAAGGCAGCCGTGACGTGCACCTAGTCTGCCAGTGCAAAGCAAGACGTGACAGCCATGTTTCACGCAATGCAAGCATGTCCTGTCCCTGCCGAAGTTGCATACTGTCCTGCCTGTCTATGACCAGGCCAGGAATGCTCTCTTGTGGGACTGATCTGGCCAATGCTAGTGACGTTCCTGGCAAGCCTGGGTCTGAAAAGTGGCCCAAAGAAAGCTTCCTAAAGCTTCCTCTCGGCTCCATCACTGTGTGGCCAAGCCAAGTGGAGCAAAGGACATCTACGCACTGCACTACTACAGACTGCTGCTAAGCCGGCTGCCAGCACATCTTATCGCAAGGTTTCGCGACTTTGTGGCTGCCGCCAAGGAGCCTGACCTGCTTGGCAGTCATGGGCAGAGGGCAGAGCTGTCTTCTGCTCATGCCCAAAATTTCGGGGAGCTGGGCACATGCCGTAGCAGGCCATATAACGTGCTCTTCTCGAACTCAAATGTAGAATTGCATAGTGTTGAAGGTTCGCACGCATGCCACCCTTTTCTGGGATGTACCCTCTGAATGGGTCCTCCGATGACACTATTTGTCGTGCCACCTCGGCCATGCATAATCAACACTCCTGTAAAGGAGATTTGCGTCAGCTCGCCGACGTCAAATGTATGCTGTCAAGTCAAGGTGCAGGGATGTGTGGATGGGATCCCACATGGATGAGAGCCAGATAATGCTTCGAGAGAGTTTGACAAGTATGCACGGAATACAACTATGAAGCATGTCTGGTGAATCCTTGATCTGGACTGTAGGTCGTCTGCAGGTCTACTTAATAACACGGTGGCAACAGTGACAAGGACGTTGGCGAGCGTCAAAAGCCAAAGAGCGTCCGAAGGCATCTGAGCGCTCAGGGTCTATACGGTGTGAATGCAGCTACGTTGTGTAGCCAGCATTGAGCAAAGCCAGGTATGGGCTTGCAGCTTTCGTACATGGGATTCTCCTCTAATCCTGCATGGCAAACCTCGCTTTGCATATAAAATGCAGGCTGCCCGAGTCTTTACATTCATACGGGTTCCTGCAACAATCCTTGTGGCAGTGTCCGTCTGCTTGCACGATGACTCCCTGGTTGCAAAGATGGCTCATGCTGCATCGTGTTTGCACAGTAGTCTACACTGACCACTGGAAGGGTGGAATTTTTCCAAACAGTTGGGACTACAGGGGATGCAAGTCCGAGCAGTATCAGCAGGTCCTGTAAAGCAGCTCATGTGTTCCAGCGCTTCTTCCACTTGGGATATTTGCTAGGTGGAGTCAACGAAACAGCCCAGCATCCCATTACAGGGCACAAGCTGGACATCATGGCTGCATCACGTTGACCGAGATCATGGAGATGCTACAGCTATTCTGCCATCTCCTTCTAGAGATAACCAATTTGCTAGCTCATGCCTGCAACTAAGCGTCCGTATCCTTGGCTGCGCACAATCTGCACAAGTACAGCAGCCTTTTGATATCTTAATCCTAAACCTTTAACCGTCTTCGACCTGTCCTTCAAGCTGATGAACACAAGTCTCACGCGGCAAGGTGCTAGAGCGTAGGAGCCGTGTCTGATTTGTCCCAAGGATTCGAAGCGCTTCTGTCCTCGCTCGCAAAAATATCCAACTCACAGAGAATCAGCCAGTTGTTGTGGACACATTGGCAAATCATCTGTTTTTTGCTTTTTTGGCTACATCCTTGAGCTGGAAGGAAACAAGTCAATCAAGACAGATTATTACAGATTACAAAATTGCAAACTACACACAGGAAATAGCTTCGGGAGGTCCTCTCTGGACTGCCGAGCACTTCCACTACCTCTCTGGCAGCGGGATGCCCATGGCGGCTGCATGCCAGACGGACCAACACAGCAGGCTCCTGGATGCAAAGCCCATTGCCACTGACACTCCGTTTGGCGTTTGGGCTTGATTCCTACCTGCATCCTGACTGCCGCAATTGCGTTCTCTATGCTACGGCTGAACCAGTCTATGCACAAGCAGTCATGCGATGAAATCTCAAAAAAAAAAAAAAAACATACCTTTGGCATAGGACGTCATGTTTCTCGGAAGTCAGGTGGAGCGACGCATTGGTGGTATCTGCCCGCGTCTTCTTCTATGGGGACCAGCATAACAGCTGTGAGAGCTGGGTCAAAACGCCACGCACACTCACTAGCCTAACTGCCCAGGCCCATGCCTCGAGCCCGCCGTTCTCAATGGGCTCATCATGCCGTCGATGGATTTGCTGGGATGGAATTTGTTGGGGTGGCATGGCAATTGTGGCAGAGCGGCTACGCCCAGGCACATGATTGGTAGTCAGGCATTAGTTCGAAAGTCCACACAGCTTGGCAAACGGAAGGCTGGATGGCAGCGTCTCTTCAGAAAGCTGTCCTTCAAGATTGCTCTGGCTAAGGAGACACGGCTTGGGCGCACTGCAGATGTCAAGGCGCAGCTTACGACAGCCGCGCCGTACTGGTCTGAGCCTCAGCAGACTTCAACCAACTGTTGAATCCAATCCTCTAGAGCACACGAAAAAATATGGCCAGAAAACAAGAAATGCCCTATTGCCTGAAGTCCAATTCGTCAAGAAACTCAACGCATTCAGATGCTCCTGGATGCAAAAACTCAAGCGAATGCTGCGGGATGCTGTCAGTGCGGGGCGACATGAGATCACGACGTGTCCTCCAACGCTTGACATACCTCTGTTTGTATCGCGCTGTGCTGCAGGATATGCTGCATCACCTTAGATGAAAGCATGGTCTGTCAGTCTACCTCCTGCTCACTCGGCGATTACCAACACCATTTACATGAAAATGTCTAGCTTCAACCAGGAAGCGTAATTTCCGTATGCGTGGCAGGAAACGAGCGGGACTTCTGCAAGGATTGTACGCCTGAGAAGTCAAGTTTGAGTCGAGACTTTGGGCTGAGAAAGTGCATTCGGCCCCAGTTTGAATCCTGAAACAAGGCTTCTAACCAGAGGATGGAAAAGTCTTCGAGAACCACCGGCATGGCACAACAGCCCTTCAACTTGTCGGCTGGAGCAGTGCTCGATGAGACGCTGCACAATGCGGCAGCCGTACCTGAGAACAAGGTTCGCATGAAGGCGGCTTCTGCGCTGGTTGTGCAACAGGGCGTCAACAGCAGCTACAAGATCCCAGCACACTTTAACAGGCTAACCTGAGCACTACTCTCGGCCTGTTCTTTCTGCCGGGGTACTTGTGCCTGGCTGCCTGCACTGCCAGCCTCTCCTTCGTGAACACATCTACAATGAACTGGAGATCTTCTGGATGCATAGCCTCTGCTCATAGAAGGTTGACTTCACATGGCATTCAGTGCCTGCAACCAGAGAGTTGAAGAACGCATGTTTGCAAGGATCGCAAATACGCACGCTTGGCAGCAAATATGCCAAATTTATTTGCTTTCTACCACTGAGAACGGTGATCTCAGACTGTCAAAGAAGACTCTGCCATCAAAATCTGCAGTGGGATGCATGCAACAGGAGACGAAATAGTGCGCGGAACACCAGATCTCCTCTTTCCCCCTTTCCTCCCTTGCGCCATCCCTGTTCCTACATCTGTGTCCCCGTGACCCTCTTGTTTCTACGTTGTGCCCGTCCCCATGTCCTCCTCTCCTCTCCCCTCCCACCCACTCCTCTCCGCTCTCCCTGCCTCCTCTCTTTCTGTCTTTCATGCGGATCATGAGGCTAACCCTGGGGCAGCGCCTGGGATCGCTTCCACACCCTTGTAAGGTATTGCCTTACAGAGATACTTAATCACAGCTGAGCGTCCAGACTGATACCACGCTAAGTTCCGCCTCCTCTCCGTCGCTCCCCTCCCAGAGGGTAAGAGTATTTTTGTTGTTATCTGGATTTTTTTTGTTGTTTGAGCTTTTCAGATGTCATTTTTTTTGCTGTTTGGGCGGGGCCGTGTTGTATGTTTTGCTGTTTGGGCAGGGGCGCCGGCCCCGCCCCAACATCAAAAAACAAACACGCCCCCGCTCAAACAGCAAAAGAATAAACACGCCCCCGCCCCTTCCGAGCGCTTTTTTTTTTGCTATTTGGGCGGGTGGTCTTTTTTTTTGGCTGTTTGGGCGGGGGGCGTGTTGTTTTTTTGCTGTTTGGGCGGGGTGCATGTTTTTTTTGCTGTTTGGGCGGGGGCGGGGGGGTGGGGAGGGGGGCGTGTTTTTTTGCTGTTTGGGCGGTGTGCGTGTTTTTTTTTTTGCTGCTTGGGCGGTGTCGTTTTTTTTGTTTTGCTGTTTGGGCGGGGAGGGTGCATTTGTTTTTGCTGTTTGGGCGGGGGCGTGTTTTTTTTTTGCTGTTTGGGAGGGGGACGGG